CAATACAAATATATACAAAAATTCTGTGCGTCTCCTGGGGGCTAAGCCCCCCTTGTCCTTAACACCTAGTGACGCCCCTGGAGGTACCTACAATGGGATATAATTTATTTTATTTTTAAATTAAAGTTAACATAGACCTTGATTTTTAAATGACGAAATGAAAAGAATGGACCAGTGTAAGGGAGTTATTCAAAGAGAAAGCTCTGTACATGTTGTATTGTGTAACAATTGTTCTACACTTCATCTATTGTATTGAAGTCTGGGGTAAACCATGCAAAACAATTAAAAATCTTAGTTTTATTTTACAGAAAATAGCAGTAAGAATTACTAGAAAACATTACAGTCATCCATCAAGTACATTCATCAATTGAAAAAAATTTAAATTCTACGATTTGGTTGACCATAGTATCTTACTGTTTATGTATAAGGCTATCAAAACATATTACCTTCTAACATCCAAGTAAATTTTGTTAGGAGAGAGAGTTGTTATTATCTTAAGGGGATGGAGATGTTCAGTCCAGGGAAAAAGTTTGTGGAAAGATCTGAGGATGATGTTGCCCACTGTTCCCTGAATCATTTCTCCTTCCCCCTCAGCTGTCCTCAGTGTTTCTCTGCTCAGCTTCTCATCTGTTCCAGATCTCAGCTCAGATCAGGTCTGTTCTCTATCACAAATCATCAAAGCATTACTGATTTTTAGCAACATGTCAGGTTCTATWTTCATCTAATTTGTCCTCTGCTTTACAAAGTACACTACTGAAACAACTTCTGAAAACTACTATTTTTTGTGTTCCAGATGATTTATTTGCATTAGACTAAAACTGACATTTGCAACTTGTGTACATTTTAAAGCCCTCCACACACAACAGGAAAAAACACTTTTTCTCTCTTTTAAATATATTATCTACACAGTAAAAAAACTACAAATCTCACTTACCTATTATACGCTTATCTATTTATTTAATAGAATTCAAAMGTTTCTGCTTTGTATTTCAAATCGTAGCTTATCAAAAATCCCCTTAACAAAGTTGATTAAAATTTCAACATTTTAATAAACAAAGTGCTTCGTAATTACAACAAGGTTTTTACTTGATGGCTAAAATTCTGTGACCCTCCTGAAAGATCCAACGATGGCACAGGTGGCACACCAGTCGCGGTACCTCCTGTACTCTCCGGACTTCAGAAAGTACTGTCTGCCTCGGTAGTTGGGGTACTCATAGAAAACCCAGTAGCCGTTCATAACATTACACGAGTAGACATGGCGGTGATGGAAACGATCAGACACACAGGGACAATCATCCATAAACTCCATCATGTGACCGCTGAAGTCAGGCTTCTCGTAGATGCGCAATCTGTAGGAGCCTCGGTACTAGGGGACAGAGGTGGACCAACACATATCCAGTCAGATGTGTAAACAGTAATAAGATGTGAAGCATGTTGTCTAACTTACAGCTGGAATCACCCGACATGAGCGAATACTACTGCTGAAGCCCATCCATCTCTGGTAGTCAGGGTACTCCCCCCTCCTCATGAAGTATTGGTGACCCATGAAGTTGGGTCGTTCGTAGATCATAAAGCAGCCACTTTCCACCCGGATGGAGTTGCAGCGACTGAAGTATGTATGAAGGTCCATGCAGTCATTACTGCACTCATAACTCCGACCCTGGAAGTTCTTATCCTCGTAAAAAACAATCTTGTGAAAGATATGAGAGTGTTAAGTACTCAGTCCAACTGAACTTATTAAAAATGAACCAAATGTATGCTCTGTGTAAAACTGAAACACACAGAAATCAGTAAAGTTTTTTTTGCTGTAATGTACATTTACTGTGAGCAGGAATGACAAACAGTACTTACCTTGCCCATGGTCTCTGTTTGAGGGATTCCACATGTTTTCAGGGCTTTTTATACTGCCTCTTGACAAGCAAAGCATTGTTATTTAGATTATCTCATAGTTATAACTAAAGGCTACTGGCACGTTTTCCTTTTTGTTGGAGCACAACATTGGTCAAAAATATAAATTTGTATTTGAAAAAGGGATAAATATTTAACTGGTTTGGTGTTTTGACATGGATGGACAAAGGAAAAGACTAGTATGGTATCCACACATCCAGCAAACAATGGCTGCAGAACAATATGGAACAGCCCTTTTGCATTAAACATGTTGTGTAACTGAGCACGAAGCTGTTTACTCTTTGTGCTGCTGCCTGAGCAGCCTTACTGAGCCCTCACAGTGTTGTTGATAGGGTCTGTAAATAAAAGATTTTACTAGGAATTATACTGTACAGTTTACACACATGGACAAAATTGTTGATTCAAGATACAAGAGTTTTATTGTCATATGTCCAGCAAGCAGTTACACTGTGCAATGAAATTCTTATTTAGCAGTTCCTCTATTTACCGACAGTCCAAGAAATTTTAAAGTACAATAAAATACAAAAGTAGGGTGGACAGAATTATAGATATTTACAGTTTTTACATTGTTTTTGGACTGTAGCAGCTGAGTTTTTAGTGCAAAAAGACACTGTATACAGAATTATAGATCAGTATTTACAGTATTTTCAATCTTTGACAGTAGCAGCAGGACATGTAGTGCAAAACAGACACTGCATATGGGTAAGCATCAAACGTGATATAGACCAGACAAAATTGACACTAGTGTTATACAATTGTTGTATAAACCAGTGTTATAAACAGAGTGGCACATAAGCAGTGCGCAGGTACGCATGCGCGACCAAAAAAGGAAAAAGCGCACCAGATGTAACGTCTTAAAGCTCCCTTGCGTACCTAAGATTGTACCTGGTTGTCTGTCAAAACAACAGTTAGCAGGGCTCTAGAGTGCGACCAGTTTGGTCACAAACGCGACCTGATTTCTTAAAAAATAAAAAAAAAATCCAGCTGCACTGGTGTGAGTGGATCGTTTGGTGCGCCACAGTGGGACCCTGATATAAGGATTAAACGGACACTGCCTTCAACAAATCAGATGAAGTCCAGAGCTGTTTTGTCCAATCAGAGCAGAGCAGGGCGGGACTTTCAGTGAGAGCAGGTTTGGTTGAAGCAGTGGGCCGGCTCGACTCGAGCTGCTGCAGTGATCAGTCCTGACTCCTCCTGCACTTTGCTCCTGAACTACCAGAGACTTTGGTCTGTAAAACCTAACTTTATATTAAATATGTGTTCAGAATGTTGTTATTGAACAGATCTGTCCAACTCTGTGTGAGTGACTAAACCCTCCTCCTGAGAGACTGCTGTATGAGGCTGTCTGTGAGATTCACTAAGTTTTACTAATTAAACCACTTTAACTAACAGAACATTTGTTTGTCCCATATTAAAGTAAAGATGATTCTCTGTTTAACACCCAGTCAAAAAATTATATATATTAAAAAAATAAAAACAACTTGCCATGTTCTCTAGGTGGGTTTTATATGTTATTTTAATTTATCATAAAGATCCACAAATTTCATTCACAATTTTATCAAAAAACAAGGTTCTAGATATGCTAACCTTGTTTATATTTAGTACCATACTGTGATACAGCTGCTCTGGGATAAATGTAATTTACTAAACGATCAAATACGAAGAATAAATAATTACATGAGCTGAAAACATCTAAATAGTATTATCTTTTTGAGTAAAATAGTCTTTTAAAAAAGAAATCAGTCTAACATATAAAACATTTGTATGTTTTAAGTTATTTTGCTCTGTGTAAAAGACAGATATTTGCTGGTTGGACTGGAGAGTGGAAATCTGGTTTAAACAAGGCCAAACTACAGGAGCTGTACATCTCAGGGTCATGTGTAATCTAACAGACATTTAAACATGAAATGTTCAGTTTGTGATGTTTATATGACATACACCCAGCCCCTCGGACACTTAGGTAGTTTACAAAATGTATGCAGAGTAAAAGAATAAAATAAAAACTTGTTGGACTGATTTGACATGATGTCCTGAGACGTTGCAGCTGATAGGAGTCATAAAACAGAACAGGGGGACGTTAGATGACCTGACACCCCTCTAGATAAATGTGTTCAATGAGTGAAGGAAAATATGAGTGAGCACCAAGCAACAMCCYAGGTTCTCCYCTGAGAACCAGAACAAAAGTTTTATGTACAACCCTGGTTATACAGTAATTAACAATATTGTAGACCAGTAGTCACAGAATGTGTGGTGGGCTCATATTGTACAATAACAATAGGTATTAATAGGTATTAACAATAGGTATTAATTAGGTGTGAACGATAGCCATGTGATGTGAGTATCAGTCACATGGAGGCAGGACTCAAAAGCCTGTATTTTTCCTGAAACTCTCAGACTGAAGAAGTCTCTTGGAGGAGAGACGAAACGTTTCATTAGAGAAGAACCCGTCCAGAGGACCTATACAATTTTTTTTCCTTTGATTTTTTACCTGGATTACTGAGATGCATCAGGACTTAAAGTGAAGTAGCTTGGACGGAATAAGCTAAACATAATAAAAATTGAGCAAGAACGAGGTTTAGCATTAAGGCTTGGCTAACTACATGCTGTTAGCCATGTTGTAACAACTGCTTAAAGAAGTAAAGATCCTAGATCTGAATGAATGAAATATTCTCGTTGATCACTTTCTTCTAAACAAAGTTGGATGTGCTGACAGCTTGTGAAATTGTTTGTCATCAGTGTTACTTCATGAGTGGACAGTTTGATTTCACAGAAGTGTGATTTACTTGGAGTTAGATTGTGTTTGTGTTCCCTAATGGTGAACACAACTCAATATAATATAAAAATATTTTTATGTTTTTGTTTAATTTTGTTTTTTATAAATTACTATTGTTTGAATTTATTCTTTAAAAAGGGGCAGATATGTGTGATCTCATTAACATCCACACTTCAGTTAGAGCACTTCGGTCCAACCAGTTTCTCTTAGATGTTCCTGGATCCAGACTAAAGTTCAGAGGTGATCAGGTCTTTGCTGTCTCTGCACCAAAACTCTGGAATGATTTAACTCTTAGTGTTCAGACTGTTGAGACTTTTAAATCTCTACTTAAAACTCMTTTTTACTCCCTGGCCTTTCATTCTGSTAGAGTTTGAGATTCTTTTAAAGATAATGTTTTTAATGTTTTTTTTCTCTATTTTAAATTGATCTTATTGTTTACATTTCTGTGTTGCTCTGTTGTTTTATTCATTTGGCTGAATTGTGAAGCACTTTGGCCAACGTCTGTAGTTTTTATGGGCTGTATAAATAAATTGATATTGACATATTAGAAGATATTTTTCTTCTTTCTGCTGCCTTTCATTTTATTTACATATATTTTTTCTTCTGTTGTGCATAGTTTATTTTGTTTTTTGATACATTTTAAAATAAACATATAATGTAATAATTAACCTTAGAGCTGCAACGATTTGTTGCTATTAAAATAACATAAATTGTTTTCATAATAAATATACTGTATATTAGAAAGCTCACTTGTAGCCATCTCCACATTGAATTAAATTTGTGCATTTATTGTTTTAGGTTTGTGACACCATCTTGAGCCATTCACGTGCATCTGATCAGAGCTACACTTCTGCAGACAGGTTCCTGCAGGACAGTTCTCTGAAGCAGCACTGAAGACCATGGAGGCTCACCCAGTGCTGAACAGGACCAAGAAGTCTGATGTAGTTCAGGAGCTGCAGTGGTGCTGCGGCTCTGTCCCAGCTGCTCTTCATGGAGAACAATCTGCAGGACACCTTCAGAGACTGTGACTCTGCTGAAGATYCTCATCACATCTCCTCTGACCACAGCTGAATCTGAGAGGAGCTTCAACACTGAAGACAATCCAGACTTTCCTCAGGTACAACATCACATCTCACTGCACTGACCATGCTCTATAAGAATCTGGTTCAAACATCCTGACTTTAACCAGAGTCATGAAGAAATTTGCTTCTCAGTAACAGAAGAGCAACATTTATGTACAAAAAAATAACACACTACATGACATTGTAATGCTGTTTTATTATTTTCATTTGTTTAATAAATACACTGTCGTGATACGAAAGTACATTTGATTGCTTTCTGAAATACGTCTATTTTGGAGTTGTAGCCCCCCCCCTGGAGAAAAATCCACCAGCCGCCACTGCTAGAAGCCAAATAACTTTACAGGAAATTGAATCCGTCATTTCTACCCTCCCCAACAATAAAGCACCAGGACCTGATGACTTCATTGTTGAGTTCTTTAAAATTTACAGTCTCGAAATAGCGCCATTACTTTTGCATATGCTAAACCACTCTAAGCAAACATCAAGACTGCCTCCCACTTTATACGGAGTGAATATTTCACTCATCCCTAAACTTTGAGAGATTCAGAGGTTGTTTCATCATACTGCCCAATTTCTTTGTTGCCATTAGAAACCAAAATTCTTGGGAAAATTTTAGCCAATAGACTAAAAAAATACATAAATTCAATCATCCACACATATCAAACTGGCTTCATGCCAGGTAGACATACTGTATGTTCTTTAACCTGCACCGTCTGTTCAACATTATATTCAAATCATTTACAGGAGTCTGTGGTTATTTCGCTAGATGCACAATGTGCTTTTGATCAAGTAGAATGGCCTTCTATGATGTATGTCCTCAAAAAAATTGGTTTTGGACCCCTGTTTACAAAATGGATTGAAATAATTTAGTTAAACCCAACTGCTCCTGTCATCACTAATCAGAACATCTCTTGTCCCTTTACGATT